AACAGGAACTGCTGTTGGGCCTTGTACCCATCCTTTCCGTACCCATTTCGTTCGTGCCGACCTGAGGCCTCCGCCATTCCGCCGCCCGGCTGCGCCCAAGCCCCTTGTCGGTCTTAAGACACCTACATGACGGCTTCCAAGAGAAGCTCGATGTTCACATCGTTCTGAAGACGCCTCCGGGGCGCATTTGGCCCCGTCGCGGCCCTTTCTGGCCTCTCAGATCCGCCCCCGGGGCCCTCGAGAGCGCCTCTTGTGGCCCGCTGGCGGCGAAAAGCTGGAAGATAAAAAAAATATCGCAGAGAGGATTGTTTTTTTCACGCCTTCCGCTTGGTGTGACCCCGACGCTTCTTACAACTGCTTTTCGGGCTCGTCTGGGGTATTGTAATTTTTCCAATTTGGACGCCGTTCTTGGGCGCGCTCCATGTTCCATTTTGGAAGGTTCGGGGCCCCATGTGGGCCCGGAAACGGACCCAAAACAGCCCAGAACCGGCCCGGTTTCTGCCAGAAGACGGACGGGGCGGCCCAAGAAGCCGCCAAGAGGGCCCCGAGACGGCCCAAGAGGAGTCCAAGACGGCCCAAAGGGGCTCCAAGATCGCCCCAAGAGGCCGCCAAAAAGGCTCCAATATTGCCCAACAGGGCCCCACGGCGGCCCAAGGGGCCCCCAGGACGGCCCAAGAGGAGCCCGATGGGAGGAGCCCGAACAAACTGGTCGAACCCTCCGTCCCAAAAGGCCCCACCAGAGGCCCCAAAAAAACCCAGGAGAAGCCCGAAGACGCCCCCGACAGGCCCAGAAGAGGCCCCAACACGATCTCCACGAGGGCCTGAGAGACTTCACTGGTGCCCGAATGGTACCACTTGAAACCTACATACTCAAGAAGCAGCCAAAAGGCATCTGGGAGGTTTGCGGACACAGACTCTTATGGTTGACGCCAGGTCTACCATTGTCGTCGTCCACGTCGTCGTCGTCGTCATCGTCGCCGTCATCGTCGTCATCGTCGTTGTCGTTCCCTGCGTCGCCCCCATTACATTCCTCTCTCTCTCTCTCTTCCTCTTCCTCCTCCTCCACGTCCTCCTCCTCCTCCTCCTGCTCCTCTTCCTCCTCCTCTTCCAACCCCACTTCCTTCGATCGATATGCTCCTCCTCCTCTTCCAACCCCAGTTTCTTCGATTGATATGCCTCCAGCGGTACCACTGGGATGCCATTTCACCCATGGGGCATCCGACACACCTCCCCAACACCGGCGATCCACAACAGCAGGGATCCAAATGACGTTCACGATACCGCGTCGGCACTATTTGAGTCATTCCGATTGCACCAACGCAAACACCATACAGCATCCATACGCCTTCGTACAGCATTCCACGCAATCCCGAGCAGCATCCAAGAGGCTTCGGAACCCACAACCCAGGCACAAAGGCCACTATATCTCGGGCATTGTGTCAAGTGCTGTGGAATAAAGCCACATAAAGCCGCACGCCATGCCTGAGTTCACGCTCGAACAGAACATGACGTCCAAGACAAACACTGACCCAGACGCCTGCATGCATCGTCAGAACCCCGACACCCTACCTGGGACCTACAACTCGTGCTGTACCTACATACACCTGATCTCACACCTACGTCGCTTTTGGACACGATCCATGATCAATGTTGGACGCTCCTGGGCATCACGTGGACACCAAAGCAAAACCCAAACCGGTCCCAAACCAGCCAGATGTTCAATAGCATTCCGACGGAGTTACGGCCCAACACGGCCGTGCTGTCGCTTCGGCCGTTCAACGCCCGCATGAGCCGCATGGGTCCCTGCTTGGCTCCGTTTAGGCAGCGTTCGGGCCGTTTTGGGCTGATCTTGGCCAGTGTTCGAGCGATTTCTGGCCTCCAGGTGTGGATAGTAAACAAGGGCCCAGAGAGCCAACGTCCATATCACTGATCCGTCGGTACTGATGACGAGACGACAACCAAACGGCAAATCTACAATCGATCAGCCACGCAACATACCTGACACTAACAGGCTATGATTTGGGAACAACAATGGAGCGCAAACAAAAATTATCCCGGCAAAGCAACCTAACAGCGATGTGTAGAAGCATATCTGAAAGCATTCCCCTTAAGATTCAGATGAAAATCCAGTTGTCGAATTCTGCTGTTCTCGCAGTCGTAGTCGCATTCGCGATGACAGTCGCAGCGGCAACGGCAGTCGCAGTCACAGCCTCAGCCTCAGCCTGCCTCCTCCTCCTCCTCCTCTTTCTCCTGCTCCTCCTCCTCCTCCTCCTCCTCCTCTTCCTCCTGCTCGTCCTCGTTCTCGTCCTCCTCGTCTTGCTCGTCCTCCTCCTCCTGGTGCTCTCCTCCTCCTCCTCCTCCTCCTCCTCCTCCTCCTCCTCCTCCTCCTCCTCCTGGTGGTCCTCGTTCTCCTCCTCCTGGTGCTCTCCCCCCCCCTCCTCCTCCTCGTCCTCCTCCTCCTCCTCCTCGTCCTCCTCCTCCTCTTCCTCCTCCTCCTCCTCCTCCTCCTCCTCCTGGTAGTCCTCCCCCTCCCCTCCTCCTCCTCCTCCTCCTCTTCCTGGTCGTCCTCGTTCTCGTCCTCCTCGTCTTGCTCGTCCTCCTCCTCCTGGTGTTCTCTCCTCCTCCTCCTCCTCCTCCTCCTCCTCCTCTCCTCCTCCTGGTGGTCCTCGTTCTCCTCCTCCTGGTACTCTCCCCCCCCCTCCTCCTCCTCCTCCTCGTCCTCGTCCTCCTCCTCCTCCTCCTCCTCTTCCTCCTCCTCCTCCTCCTCCTCCTCCTCCTCCTGGTACTCCTCCCCCTCCCCTCCTCCTCCTCCTCCTCTTCCTGGTCGTCCTCCTCCTCCTGGTCGTCCTCCTCCTCCTGCTCGTCCTCCTCCTCCTCCTGCTCGTCCTTCTTCTCCTGCTCCTCCTGCTCCTCGTCCTGCTCCTGCTCGTCCTCGTCCTCCTGGTCTTGCTCGTCCTCCTCCTCGTCGTGCTCTTGCCCCTGCTGAAAATGTGGCCCAGGAATGGGAGTTCTGGGAAGTCGAAGAGCACGAAGTTGCCTACAGTTGGCTACGGGCATTCAAAATGTGGCCCGGGAATGGAGTTCTGGGAACTCGAAGAGCACGAAGTGGCCTACAGTTGGCTCCGGGCATTCAAAATAAGGAATGGAGTTCTGGGAACTCGAAGAGCACGAAGTGGCCTACAGTTGGCTCCGGGCATTCAAAATGTGGCCCGGGAATGGAGTTCTGGGAACTCGAAGAGCACGAAGTGGCCTACAGTTGGCTCCGGGCATCCAAAATGTGGCCCGGGAATGGAGTTCTGGGAAATCGAAGAGCACGAAGTGGCCTACAGTTGGCTCCGGGCATCCAAAATGTGGCCCGGGAATGGAGTTCTGGGAATCGAAGAGCACGAAGTGGCCTACAGTTGCATCCGGCCCCCCAGAATGTGGCCTGGGAATGGAGTTCTGGGAAGGCGAAGAGCACGAAGTGTGTGACTGTTGGTGAAAAACGAGCCCGGCTCACTGCCGCCCGGCAACTCCCAACACCTGCCCGGACCCCCCTGTGGAGTGATCTGCTGCTCTCTTTTGATCCCACTAGAAACCTATCAGTCTTCGCTGTTAGGTAACAACAAAACACGCCTGCGGGGGGTCTTGTATGAGTTTCTGCATATGCTAATGCCGTCGTGGAGCCGTCTTCGACTCGTCCGGCGAGAATTGAAGCAGGCGGGTGGTGAACGCGAAGCGTCTTGAATCACTGAGTCGACTAAGGTTGTGGCTACATGCTGGCCCCCTCGGGGGCGGGCCTAACGTACTACGGCCCCTCTTTTGCTCGCTCTCCTCCAACACTCGCCCCGAAATGGCTCCCGAGGCTCCCGAGGGTACTCCGAGACGGCCCTGGGAGGTGCCCAGGAGGCCCGAAGAGGTCCCCAATGCCCCGAAGAAGCTCCAAGAGGCCCCCATGAGGCGCCCCAGGGCCACCCAAGAAACTCTGAGAGGACTCCAAAAAACCCTCGAAAGAAATCCGACGAGACTCCGAGATGCATCCAAGAGACGTCTGGCCTTTCTGCTCGCCCACCTGCTCCTCCTCATATTCCTCGTCCGCCTGCTCCTCCTCCTACCTCCTCCTTCCTTCCCCTCCCCCTCTCCCTCCTCCTTCTCCTCCTCCTTCTCCTCCTCCTTCTCCTCCTCCATCGGGGGTAAGAAATGTCCGCAGGGCACCCGCTGGCAGGCCGCCTTCTTGCTTGCTGCCTGCCGTACTATTGCCAGCCCTTTCTGGTTTGCCACCACGGGCAATCACGAACGGTGGCCTCTGGAGGAGCGGTGGAGCTAATCGCCGACCCACATGCCGGGTGCTGCCAGAAGTGACCCTGGTCCGAGGCGCTCCCAACTTGTCGGGCGATCTTACAAGAGCCCAAGGACACACAAATAACAGGATCCCCAATATTTTCTTGGTTTTTGTCTTCCCCCCGACTTTCCATATTTTCCCATATTTTCTTGGAATCGACGATCGATAGTGTCTGTGTGTTTCTGTCCCTCCTGAGATCTTGGGGGCCTCCAGGGCATCCTGGGCCTCGCGAGGGGTGCTGCGGAGGCCCTCTGCGCCGCCCTGGGGAAGCTGGAGGAGCCAGAAACGGCATAAACATGACTTCTCGGAAGTCCGCGCGGACCTCTTGGATCGGCGCTGGACCTCCCTCCCTGCGCCGACCCAAGACATCTGCAGGGACCTCTGAGCATGCATGTTTAAGTATGCAGCTCCCTGTTCTTCGAGAAGCTGGCCACCTTGTGCCAGGACCACTTCTTGAGCATCGTTCAACCCATCCCCGTCCCCACCAGCGTGGCCTGGGCCCCATTGGCCGATTTGCCCAAGGTGGGGATCCAGGCTGCTTCCCTCGGATTTCGAAGGGTATAATCTCCCCAACTGGGGTGGAGGGGTGGTGGGGATCGGGATGGGGTGGGGGATTGGTTGAACGACACTGACTTCTGGCAGCACCCGAGCATGACCCGCGGGAGGAAAAGCGCGGGGCCTGCAGTGGCGCAGGCCGCGTGTGTGCCGCCGGGCCGGCGACCTTCCGGTTGGACCCCTTCGACCAGAACAAGCCTGGCGGGCAAGCGCAGGCTAGGAGACGATTTCTGGGAGGTATTTGCAAGAACGAGTGAGGCTTAGGATCAGTGCGCTGGCCTGGTAGGTGTTCTGGGAAGGATTCTGGCCTCGTAGGAGGCAACTTCTGGGAGGTCTTCGCAAAACACGATTGAGGGCAATCAGGCCCGATTGAAAAAACATTGAGCCCAAATGAGCCCAGGATTAAACGGGATGAGGCAGGATTGCATTGGATGGGAACGGCTTTCAACCGCGGATATGCCTGCGCCGATGCTGAAATAACCCCCCTGGGAGCTTCATCCTGCGATGCAGAGAGGGGATAGGAGATGAGACGGAGATACACTGAGTTCAGAGCACACTGGGATTACTGTCGACAGAAGTATCGCGCAGGACAGCTGAATCGGCCGACACGGCAAACGATGGCGCGAATGCGCACGGGAACTCCCGCAGAGGGGTGAGGAGGAGGAGGAGGAGGGGGAGGAGGAACTGGAGGAGGGGGAGGCGGAGGAGGAGGAGGAGGAGGAGGAGGAGGAGGGGGAGGAGGAAGGGTGAGGAGGAGGAGGAGGAGGAGGAGGAAGGGTGAGGAGGAGGAGGAGGAGGAGGAGAAGCAGGAGGGGGGGGGAATGACGAGGACGGGGACGGCAGTGCCGCACGCCCTGCCATGATACCGCTCGGGTCCCCACTCGGGAGGCTCCTCCCTCACGACCTCCCGCCCGTCCACCTCCCCGGTCCGTCCCCGTGCACCGGAGGCGGCCCCGTGGGACCCGCTGCTTGCATGATTGCAACAGGGCTGCTTGAGAGATGTCCTTGTGATTGGCACGCGATGGTTCATCAGCTTATTCACCGTACTTGTCTTCATCGGTTCGTTCTTCCTCAGTGTACCGGTGGTGATACGATGATTCATTACTTGGCGTAAAAAATTCTCAGTTCCTCCTGCTCTTACTGGTTTTCCTCGGCATCGTTTTCATTGTCTCCTGGATTCTCTTGGTCTCCGTATGGCCGCGCACGCTTACAAGGAAAACAACATATTGAATCGCAACGGACACAGCATGCGTTTTCACCTGGGACAAAAACTCAGGCAATGTGTGGTCCTCGCTATTGTTATGGTTCAGATCCCCCCACAACTTGAACCCTTTGGTGGCAACCGTTGTAAAACGAATGCTCCTTGTGCAGCGAGTTCCCACAGTGATTGACAGTGTGGGGCGTTTGCACTGGCCGCCACAACTGATACCCTTTTTGTAACGGTTTTTGCACAAGAGTTCCTTGTGTGACAATATTCAAGCAATTGTGGGGATCTGCAGTTGCCTCCACAGCTATGACCTTTTGTATCAGCCTGCACAAGCGGATTATTGTTGTGAGACCGTCAGGCGGTGATCCCTCGAAACCAGATGCTACATACGGGCTCCAATGTTGGAGGCCATTGAAGATGCCCATATTTGACATCATGTCACAACGCATCGTATCACAAGTAGCACACGTTGTAAAGCAAGCTACGCAAGGAATTCATTTATGTTTGGCGGCCAGCGCATATGCACCACACTTGAAACATTATGGGGGATCGCCACAAGCAGGTATATGGTTTGGTAGGGGCTGCAACAAAACTGATTCCAAGCGTGGGGGATCTGCACCAAAGACAGCGTGAATCGCAAGTTGTCTTAGCTGGTTCCCCACTCGTCGATGTGGAAAACTAGGACAACTAGAATTTCCATGTTCCTCGCGTGTTCCTGGTAAGCTTCAACGGCCCCGCCGATATCTCACTCGCGGCTCCGCCAGGCCGCGGACATTCCCCTTGAAAACTTGAACAGCCATGGTGCTGCATAAAAACAAGTGTGTTCACATGGGCGAACATGAAACCAGACAAGGAACACGAATGGCTGTCGCTATCTTTACAGCGCAGGTTCCCAACAACTGAAATCCTTGTGTAACAGACGCTGCAAAATGAGTACTTCTGCGGCGGCGGTCTGCAACGATGCTAAGCGCGGGGAGTCTGCAGTGGCCGCCACACGCCGAACCATTATGTAGCAGACTTCGTGAAACGAATCATTTGTGATGCGACTCTGCAACAGAAATCTCAATCGTAGGGTATCTGCAATTGCCTCCGCATCCTGAGCAACCTGCACAACAACGACATACCCTTGTAACACCGGCAACCGAGGATCCTTTTGTAGACGGTGCTGCAAAAGAGCTGAATGCTGGAGGCCACAGCACGTGCTCCACACTTTCAATTTTGTTGGGCAGTTGCGACAACAAAAAAGTGTGTGCAAAGGCTTCTACACGAGGGTTCCACTGGCGGAGACCACTGCACGGAGGTCATAGCTTAAATCCTTCTGGATGAGCGTCACACAAGAAATGTGATGCAAAGGTTGCTACGAAACGTTTTCAAGTGCGTGTTACCTGCGCTGCTACAAAAAGCGAGAGCCGCAAGTGTTCACACTTGTTTCCTATATGTTCGCCAAGGAGCGGCGCGCTGCAGAGGCCCAGGCGGACGACCGCATCGTTGACGCTCCATGCTGGAATTGCAGCGCGCGCCGCACAATCCTGAACGCGATCTTCGGGGAGACATGCCTATCGACGAGGTCACTGGCGCCGCCCCCTGGTGCGGCGGACCCGCTGCCCTGGCCAACGCGGTTTCCTGCCCCATTCTCACGAGCGGATGGAACAGGAGAGCGCGCGGCGGGAGCGACAACTTGACGGCGGGATGGGGGTCTTTCCTGGGCTCGCGGGCTCCTTGTGGCGCCGACCCCTCCAGGCATGGCGCGGACGCCCTTGCACCCTTCCTGGCGGCTCGCCAAGGCGTCCGCAGCATGGGCGCCCCCTTGCTCCGCATTGCCGCTGGCCCATCGCTGCGGCAACGTCGACCGAGACTCCACAAGACGGGGAGACGGCCCACGCGTCGCGGCCGACCGCAACCGGCCAGCACCCGGAGGCGCAGCCGCGGACCCCCAGAGGGGCCGACCAAACGCGTCCGGACCGTTCTGTTCACCAGGTCCTGTCAGCGACGAGGGGGGCGGCCGCGCTGCGCTGGACAGGATGACGGCGACGCCGCGTCCAGCCCCGCCGCCCAGGCGGCTGCAGAGACGCAGTGCCGCCCCTGACTGCGGCGGCGGCGAGGGGGGGGGGGCGGGGCGGCGCCCCGCACTCCGGCGCACGGCCTGGGCCAAGATGGGGGGCCAGCGTGGGCAACGGGCGCCGCCTATGGGTTCCGCCCCCATCCGCCGCCCCCCGTCACGCGGCGGCGCGGCGGGCCCGCTCCCGGCGCCCGGGTCGGCGACTATACCCGACGGCCTGGGGCGACGAAGGCGCCCACCCCGCGCGCGGGCGCCTTCGTTCGCCGACGACATGGCAGTGGGCGGGCGTCTACAGCCGGACCTCCCGAGGGGCTCGGTGGCGGGGCCGGTCGATGCGGCCCAGGCGGGGCAGCGCATGCACGCCCAGATTGGGGCGGAATGGCTCGCGGTCTGGGACGGGCCCGAAGGCGCTCACCCGGCGTGGATCATCCGCGGCGGCCGCCCCCCGAGCAACGCGGACAGCTCCAGCGCCCAGATCGAGCATATCAACGCCAGGAAACGCCGAATCGGAAGGCGCTCCCTGAAGCGCCACCCAATAGGCAAAGACCTGGCGGGCACGGTCCGGATGGGCAGGGCCGAGGACGACACCAGAGTTCCCCGCTGGAGTTCCCAGACCAAGGATTGTCACTAGGGCGGCGATCCCGACAAGGGGGCCCGCGGGCAGGGGAGCGACCGCGCGTGCCAGCGCAGAGGTTGGAACGACCCATGCGACGGCCTGCGCAAGGTGCCGCGGCGCGACAACAGAAGACACCAGGGTAACGTGAGCACCGCCGCCAGGACGTTAACAGGGATCGCACGGCGGCAACGGCGGGACTGGCAAGTGCGGGCATCCGAAGAGAAAAGCGGCCAGGGGGACAGACGTGCCAGCGGCGCCTCGTGGCCCGCGGGGGACCAGTCCCGCGCGCGAGACACATGGCCTCAGGGCTCGGGTTGGTCCGCGGCTGGCCCCGGGCGAACCTGGCTGCCGCGATGGTAATCCGCGATGATTGCTCGGCACCTTCTTCCCCGAGAGGTGCCTTGCCCGCCCTTTCAACCTGCGCGCGCACCGATCAAGTGTGTCCTTCAGGTCGCGCCATCCACCCTAGGCGGCGCGCCCTGCCCTCCCGCCAGAGCGCCCAGACCCCAGGCGGCGCCTTGGTTTGCTGCGCCAATGCGTGCACCGATCAGGTGCGTTTTATCTAATTCCTGGACGCCGGAATCTCTTGGCGCGGCCGCCGCCCCCCTGGGCTGCTGCACCTGCCGTCGGCTGGGGATGGCCCGGACGTGGCGCCCGCGCGTCTGCCTCGCCCGCGCGGGCCTTCCGGCTCGGCCTCCCGTCGGCAGCGCTCCCGGGCGGTCCGCCCCGCGGCGCGTGCCGGGAGGCGGCCCTCCGCCACCCCGCCCGGCGCGCTGGCGCATCCGCTCCAGCAGCCTGCGGGCACGGTGCCGCCTGGACCTCCCGCGGTGCCCGCTGGACCTGCCCCGCTGCCCACAGTGGGGCGCCTTCGCCCCGCCCGCCCTTGGGCGCAGCGCCCCCCGCTCTCAGCTCTGATGCGCGCGCCGGCCGGGCGCGGGCTCTGCTCCCCCTTCCCCGCCCCCTCCCTGCGCGGCTGCCGCCTGGCCCGCGCGGCACTCTGGCCGCGCTGCCCACGACTTGCAGCCCTGTGGCGCCCGTCTGCGGTGCCGGCGCGGTGAAACGACGCGAAGATCGGGGCAAAATCGGATCGGGATAACTCGAAATCTCTGAGAATCGGCGGGTTTGAAGGATGTATTGGGCGCCGCGGCCGCTCCAGAGCGTTCCGGAACGCTCTGAGAGCGCTCCGGAACGCTCTGGAGCGATTTATCCCGATCCTAGCCCTGTTTGCGCGGGCACCATCCGCCCGTCGCGGTGTCGCCGCCGTGGCTTTCCTGACCGGGTGCGCCGTGCGCCCCCGCCCTCTGCCGCGCCCCTTTTTGCCTGGCGCGCCGCTGGCTGGATCAGTTCCCCTTGCGGCATGGACAGCTTGTCGGCTTCGCCCGCCGCCCGCTCGCCCCGGCGTTTCGCCCTCTCTGCTGCACTTTGCCGCTTTCGTGTTCGTCCGCCTAGTTCTTGGCACTGGCAGCCCGCCTGCACCTGGCGCAACCCCTTGCAGGGCTGGCATCGCGCCGGACTACATCCTCCCGTCGTGGACCTGCGCGCCCTCCTCCTGCACTGGTGCATCCTGCACTTCGCGTGCTGCAGCCTCTGCTTCAGCCCCTGGGCGTGGCCGTAACTCCGCCCCGCGTCCACTGCCAGGGTGATGCAGCTCCGGCTGGCAGCCGCGGCCGCTCCGTGGCGCTGCACCTGGCCCTACGAGTGCCCTCCGCTCCCCCCATGTCTCCTCCCGCGGCCGCTCGCCCGCGCCCTTCTCCCCACCGCTTCCTGCCAGACAACTAGCGCCTGCCATCTCTCGGCCAAGCTCGAGCGCGCGCGGAATGCCTCTGCCGCGCTGCAACGGGAAAGTGAAAACGCGCATTGCTGTGTTATGGTGCTGCTTGTGTTGTTCCACGTGTTCCTCTCTAATTTTCTTAAGGCGCCGCCGCTGCAGATCTCCCGCATTTTGAAATCGCGTCGTAAGACCGCCGATAAGGAAGTCCCTTCATACAGGCCGCTGCAGTAAGGTGTTGCGGGAGTCACTGCAAATCCTCCACACGTAAGATCATTGTGTGGGGCCGCCGCAGCAACAACTCCTTGTGTGAAGGGTGCCACGGAATGATTTCCAGTGTGGCGGCCACTTCAGCTGCCCCGCGATTAAAATCATTGCGGAATATTGCCATAACAAAGAGAATCCGTTCGTAATACCTGCTACACAAAGAATTCAATTGCGCGGTGGGGTCACAGGTGTTTCCGAGCTTCTCATACTTGTACATTTGAAAAAGATAGTGTTCGTCCTGTCTCGCTGGAACTATTCCGCGGCCCCACGGTGATGCCTCTGGAAATTCTTCACAATCGAAATTAGCGAGCACACGAACTACAATTTGATTCCAAGTGGTGCGATGTACACTATGAATTTGGTCGACAAGCTTCGAAAATTGGCTTTAATTGTGGAGGATCTCAATGGCGGCGCCATGACAATCGTGCAACTGAGATCATTGTGCAAATCTGCCTTAACATTGTTCAACGTGTGTCTGCCACTTTCCATACGATGCGAACGCATGCAACAAAAAAACAGTGGTTCTAGCCACACGAACGGCGGGTCCTACCAGCAACCCACCCCCCTTCATAAACCAGCGTCAAGCGATCCCTTTTCAGGATAGCCCCCCCGCCCGACCGCGTAGGTGGTCAAGGCCGCGTCTCACAAGAGACCCAGGAGCCTAAAGCAGCAGCAGCAGCAGCAACTCGGACGGAGCGGGAGACCTGGAGAAAACTTACACGACAAGACTGAAGCATTCTTGCGAACGTGACGGCAGCAGCGAGAGGCCAATCAAATTGCTGGGGGCACGCGTGAACGACTGGAGCCAGCTGCCGCCGCTGAGGTCGTTCTCCTCGGGCTCGCGCCCCCGCTCTCCCAGCTTGCAGCCCCCGGCTTTCTGCCCGTCCTCCCTCGGGGGCGCGCAAACATGGATTTGCGATCCATGGATTTGGCGCGCGGTCGCCTAATCCATGGATCGGGGGAGGTGCCCTCCCCAAAATGCGGCCGGTGCCGCCTCGTTCAGCGGCGGAAATCCGCGATTTCCCATGGAAACGGGACCCGTCGCTAATCCACGCCACTTTAACCCATGTTCGCGATCGCCTGACACCCAGCCCCTCCTCGAGCTATTCCCTCCCCCACCACACAGAGATCCTGCCCTCCTGCCCCACTCCTTCCCGATCCCTGCCCCCCGCTCCCTCCTGCCTCCCGCCTGCGTTCTCCCTCCCCCCGCTCGTCGCTCGTCCACTTGAAGGGGCCCTGAGACACACAAATAAATACACACAAATAAAAAGATTCCCTATATTTTCCCATATTTTCTGGGTGTTTGTCTTCCCGCCCAATTCCCAAATTTTCCCATATTTTCTAGGGAATCGACGATTCATTGTGTCTGTGTTTTTGTTCCCTCTTGACCACTCCTCGCTCAGTGCTCCTCCCTTCTCTTGGCCCGCCCGGCCTGCGTCCCTGAGCATCGTTCAACCGATTCCCAGCCCCAGCGGCGTGGTCTGGGCCCCACTGGCCGATCTACCCCCCTAGATGGGGATATAGGTCCTTCCCTTCGGGTTTCGATGGCTGGCTCCCCAACTGGGGTGGCAATTTGGTGGGGGCCTCGAAGGGGATGGGGATGGGGATGGGGATGGGTTAAGCGACACCTAGCGAGGGCACCCCTGGAAGAGCTGCCCATCCTTACTATGCGGGATGACTGTGTGCAGCAAAGCCTGTGCCAGCGCATCGGCTTACGCGGCCGCGCTCCCCGCGCCTCCCGGCGCCGGGAAGCGCCAGAGTGTCGTGGAAGGCGCCCCGCGGGGCCGAAGCCAGCTGCATGCAGCAGACTTCGTACCGCCCGCCCACCCCCGCGGAAAGTCGGGCCGTCGAAAGCAGCCACGCGGCACAAAGGGCCGAAGCCCCCCCCCGCCGGCACCGCCAGGGCCCGGGTGCACACGGAGGGCCCGGGGCACCACCACAGCAGGGCTTCCCAGGAGCAGCGGGCCCCGCTCGAGCCCAGGGCGGTCCTCACTGCGTCACTGCGGCGTCTTTTGGCTGTGCCACCACCTGTTCTCCAGGGAGCTTCCCCCCTCCTCTTCCATCCTCCCCTCTGCTCCCTCCTCTCTCCTCCCCCCGCCGTCCTCCCTGATGCCTCGCTCCTCCCTCTCCTCCCCGCCTCGTCGCGTGCCTCGGGGCCATGCACGCCTGTCCGTGCCATCTGTGCATGTCTGTGCGCGCCATCGAGCCTCCGCACGTATTTCTGTCGGTGCGGAGGCTGCGCCAAGTGCCGCCCTCACCAGCTGCGTGCGTGGCCACTGCCAGGAGGGCTGCGGGGATCGTGGCATCAACGCAGTGACACAATATCCTGGCACTGCACTCCTTCGCTCCGCCTTCCTACGTGCCTAGCCCGCGTCCACTGATCACTCTCATTTTCCTGCTCCTGCTGCCATGCTGATGGTCATGCTCCTCATCTGCTTCATATCCCGCTACAGCTCACCCTGCTACCCCTGCTCATCCTGATCCTTATATATGATCCTCGTCCACCGCCTGCACAGTTCGGGGCCCCACTTAAAACCACCAGCACCGCCAGAAGGTTTGGACAATTTCTTCAATCTCATGATGGCATCGTTCTGATACTGACCCGTGGGCCGATGTCCGCAGGGCAGAACAAGGGATGGCCCGCTCAGGGGTGTCAGCAGGTGCTGACCCACAACGTGATGGATCACCACTATGTGGGTGTCGGGAGGAATGGGGCTTATGGGCATCTCCGCGTGGCATACCTGTGCATACTTCCATGTACTGCAGTCTGTGGAGTGGCCGTTCTGGGCGCGCCCTCGGGTCACCTTGACCAGGCACGGTGTCGCGGGCAGAGCAGTTGGCAGTGTGCCTGAGACAAGCTCTTTGGCTGGGGTGGTATAAAAACACAGCTCCACAGGCGTCGCTGTCGAATTGGCATGCCCCCTCCCCAAACAAAACGGTCAAGAGAAAGTGCTGTTCTAGGTGAGTGGGGCCTCGTGCATAATAGTCGCCGATCTACCCCATGCATGCGCTCGTTTGCTCGCGCGTATGCATGGATCCACGACTGTGTAGATGCATGCGCGATGAACGCGTGTCCCATCAAGGAGCGGACACCACAGAGCGAGGTGCCACTCGGTGGACCCACAAGAAGAAGCAGCTTTCTTCGTCAGGCAAATCGAAATCGCCAGACGTACCGACCTGCAGTAGGCAAGCACACTCATAACACACTCCTTCGAGGCGTGCGCCCGACCCGAACAAATAACATAACCATCTTGTAGCATGTAGCTTCCCGAGCGGTAAGGCCAGAAAGCGCCCGCCACGGAGCACATCGGAGTGAGGGGGGCCGAATGGTCATTCACTGTCCCTGGGCGCGTGGCTGAAATGAGGTTCTGCGGTGCAGGTTATTATCATTATTGTTGTTGTAATTGGTGGTGGTGGTGGTGTTGAAGTTGTTGCTGTTGTTGCTGTGGTTGCTGTTTCTGCTGCTGCAACTGCTGCTGCTGCTGTTGGTGGTGTTGCTCCTGCTGTTGTTGGTGTTGTTGTTGGTGGCGGTAGTGTGGTTGTTGTTGTTGCTGCTGCTGCTGTTGTTGGTGTTGTTACTGCTACTGGTTTTGGCGTCGTCGGTGTTGCTGTTGTTGTTGGTGTGGTTGCTGGTGTTGATGTTGTTGTTGCTGCTGTTGTTGTTTGTTGTGTCGTTTGTTGTTTGTTGTGTGTTGTTTGGCGACCCGGCCGCAACCCACCCGCGACCCGCCCGCGACCCGTCCGCGACCCCGCCCGACACCCACCCGCGACCCACCCGCGACCCCGCCCGCGACCCGCCCGCGGTCCATCCGCGACCCACCCGCGACCCACCCGCGACCCACCCACGTCCCACCCGCGACCCAACCGCGACCCACCCCGCGACCCACTCAGATTGCTTTACAGGGAAAAATCGCAGCCTGCGGCGAGCTCGTTCCAGTCGGGGCGTTGACCTACGGAACCCTAAATAAGGAACGAGGCCCCTTTTGTCCAGAAGTTAAACTTCGATTTCCGATCGAAAACATAAGGAAGACCTGAGGCAAGCTGCGAAACACTGAAGGAACGCGGAGCCCCTCCCCAACGAAAAAGGTTGCTTCTTCAGGGCCCCGACTGTATTTCATGTGCAAAAATGAAGCGCCTGCGGCGGGCTTCTCCAGAGCCTTGCAGACTGCCGACGTCCCCGCCGCCCCCGCCCCCCCCTTACACTTATCCGCAATTGCAGGGTGCGACGCACTAAAAGATTCTCGCCGCGCGCGCGTCGCCCCCCTGGGGTCGACGCACACATAGTTCTAACATGTTCGAACGAAATGGGCCGCCAGCCATAAGATAAGCACGTCTGCGGTGCGTCCCCTCGATCTGCCACCAAACTCTCCGCCGCTGTGCCTCTCGGCACGCTAAAGCGTGGTAGATCGTCACGGGCTGCGTGGTAGGGCTTCTGCACTCTTCTGCGGAAATCCCGCCCGTCCGGCAGCAGGCTGTCGCATGCATCCCCAACCCTCTTGGGGCCACGAACCTTTGGAAAAAACGATTGCTCCACGCTCCAGAGGCCACGGCCACTTGTCAAAAGCGATGGGTTCATTGGTTCGCGCACCCGAGCTCCCAAGACGCCGAAGCAGGCAATCAAGGTCGTCACGAAGGTACAAGATGCCTCGAAGACGGCTCAAGATGTAACCGAGACGGTCCAAGATAGCCTCAACGCGGCCCAACGTGCTCCAAGAGGGCCCACAAGGGCCACAAGAAGACCCCCGGCAGGGCCGGATGAGGCCAAAATCATAAATGTTCCTCTTGTGCTTGTATGGCGTTCGCATTCTGGCCGCCCCGGATCTCCGTCAGCCGAAGCTGGTCCAAGAAGCCTCTGACATGACCCCAAGGCGGCCCCAAAAACGGTCGGCCCAAGAGGACCCCATGATGGCCCAAGAGGCCTCCAAGACGGCGAGAGATCCGAGACGGGCTTATAAGGCCCAAGGCAGCCCTACGACGCCTGAGAGGGCCCCAAGACGGCCCAAGAGAGCCCCGAGAGGGCCACATGCAAGCGTTTCAAGCAACCTCAAGACTGCCCCACTACAGGCCAAGACTGCCTCACAAAAGCACAAGACAGCCTCAAGGCAGCCAAAATGAACTCCATGAGAGCGCCTCGAGAAGTGAAGATGAAACGTGCCACATGTAACGGCCTTCCTCTTCCTCCTCGTCGTCGTCCTCCTACTCCTCTTCCTCCTCCTCCTCCTCATCATCATCATCATCATCCTCCTCCCCCCTCCTCATCATAATCATAATCAGCATCAGTATCACCATCATCATCATAATCATCATCATCAGCATCATCACCATCATCAGCACCATCATCATCACCATAGGGATCATCATCATCACCACCAACACCATCATCATCACCACCATCATCGGCATCATCAGCATCATCGTCAACATCAGCATCATCTCCATCACCATCACCACCATTATCATCATCAGCAGCACCAGCAGCACCAGCATCATTCTCATCAGCAGCATCATCAGCATCATCATCAGTATCATCATCATCATCATCATCATCATCATCATCAGCATCATCATCACCATCATCAACAACATCAACATCATCATCATCACCATCACCGTCACAATCACCAGCAGCATCACCACCATCATCAGCAGCAGCATCATCAATATCAACATCATCCTCACCATGCGCATCGCGGCTCTTCCAACATTAGGGGCCCGAGGTACCTCACGTGAGAGGCCCCCGTGCCCCCTCGAGCAGTCGACACCTAGAGTGATGGGCTAGAACGGTGGTGGGACTTGCCGAAGGCAGCTGGATATGATGACGGTGGTATCTTCGTTCACGCATGGGTGAACCTAACAGCAGGAGGGGGGATACGAAGAGAACATGGGGAACACACACATATAAAAAAAACACACTTCTACATACTTTGTCGGAAATACGCATGGCTCACACAACCATCAAGAATTTACGCGCGCGGTGTGACCATACTCGCCCGCAACACCTTTTTTTCATGATGTTTTTTTCCCCGTATTCTACTGGCTATCGTCTTCATCCTCGCCCTTGAACTCTCTAACCCACTGATCCTCGTTCTCCACCCGTTCCTTCCCGATCTCCTCCTCCTCCTCCTCCTCATCCTCCTCCTCTTTCTACTTCTCAACGTGCATCGTGCCCCTCACGGCCTTTCTGCTCCTCCTCCTCCTCCTCGTCCGCATCGCACTCCTCCTCCATTCCTTCCTCACCCAATCCTTTTTTCCCGACTCCAACTCCTCATGCTGCCCTGCTCCCCCGCCTCGCCCTCACCCTCAATATACTTTCATCGTCCTCTTCGCTCTCACTCCCCCTCCACAGTGCAACCTCCCCTTATTTCGTCGTCTCTCTTCTCCTCATCCTCCTCCTCCTCGTCCTCGTCCTCCTCCTCCTCCTGCTCCTCCTTGTCCTGCTCTTACTCCTCCTGCTCCTCCTGCTCCTCCTCCTCCTCCTTCTCCTTCTCCCCGTCCCCCTCCTCTTCCTCCTCCTCATCCTCCTCCTCGTGTTCCTCCTCCATGAATGGCTTGTCCTTGTTAATAACTTCTCCCTGTCGCACCCCGAGGCCAGCTTTGAGGGCGGGCCATGCGTTTCGGCTGAGACTTCCTAACCATTTTTAATTTGAAACTCACAAGTGGCGGGTCGTTCTCAAACTGTGCCTCTCGATTTAGCGCCGCGCACTTTCGTTCTAAAAAATGCAAGAGTTTCACGCATTGAGGGCGGTTCCTTCCAAAATGTGGCTCTCGCCTTACCGCCGCGCACGTTCGTTCCTAAACATTTGCAAAGAGGTTTCACGGATTGAGTGCGGGTCGTTTGCAAAATGTGGCTCGCCTTAGCGCCGCGCACATTCGCTTCAAAAGCTTGAAAGGGTTTCACGGACTCCCATGATCAACGTACCAGAAAGGGTGTTTTGGACGGACTCACGATTACGCGGGTGCAACACATATGTTGATCCGCCGTGTTGAAATCCCCAAACATGGCGTTCTGGCACGATTCCGGATCGTCAAGACGCAGCAGTCAGGTTGAGCCGTGGCGTTGAAATCCCGAGATCAATGTTTTGGCATGCTTCAGGGCCTTCAAACGGTTGTCTTCCAACAAGGCAGTTCCCTCAATGGAAATGAATCGTGGTAGGGCTTATGAAGAGGGAGCTTGGAGGAAGGGTTAATTACAATATCGTTGATGACTCTTGGGTTTACACTGATCCACCTCCTCTTCTCCTCCTCGTGCTCCTCCTCCTCCATTCCATCCGCTTATAGAAACTCCTCCCTGTCGCACCCCGAGGCCAGCCTTTAGGGCGGGCCGGGCGTTTCGCCTGAGAAGCCCTCACCATTTATGACTCTGAAGCATAAAAAAAGTGACAACAGCTTCACAGATGCAGGGCGGGTCGTTCTCAAAATGTGGCTCTCGCCTGAGCGCCGTACACATTCGTTCTCGCCTTAGCGCCGCGCACATTTGCTTTCAAACTTTGCAAGGGCTTCACGGACTCCCATGATCAACGTACCAGAAATGGCGTTCTGGAAAAGATTCAGAATTACGCGGGTGCAACAGTTATGTTGATTCGTGGTGTTGAAATCCCCAAACATGGCGTTCTGGCACGATTCCGGATCGTCAAGACGCAGCAGTCAGGTTGATCTGTGGCGTTGAAATCCCGAGAACAATGTTTTGGCATGCTTCAGGGTCTTCAAACGGTTGTCTTCCAACGATGAAGCTCCCTCAATGGAAATGAACAGTTGTGGGGGCCTGTGAAGAGGGAGCTTGGAGGAAGGGTAAGTTCCAACATCGTTGATGACTCTTGGTGCTACATTCGTCCTCCTCCTCCTCCTCCTCTCCTCCTCCTCCTCTTCCTCTCCTCCCCCTCCTCCGCCTCCTCCTCCTCCTTCTCCTCCTCCTCCGCCTCCTCCTCCTCCTCGCTCATCCTCCTGCTCCTTCCGCTCATCGCTCCCCCGGGACCCCGAAAGGGCTGATGCTGCTCCTCCCTCTCCATGCCCTCCTCCCCCCTTGCGCCCGTCGTCCCAGTACTCCAAGTTGATGTCTGCCCTCTCCAGGTCCTCCGAGTCCAGGTCACTTCTGAGGTACCTGCTCGACTATGGCGCGGGCCAAAGCTGGGGCCGGCGATGACGCAGCGGGTTCCGAGGCCATCGCGAGGCCTCGGCGTTGGATGACCAGACCAGGCGGAGGCGGATCAAGAAGAGACGGCCATACAATCAACCCGCATAGTAAGGATGGGCAACCTTCCCGGGGGTACGCTTGCATCCTTGCCTCATCGGTCCATCCTTGGCCACTTTCGTTGACCGCGCCCCGCTCGGAAAACTTCGAAATGTGTTCCCAAGGCCCTTGCACCCTCATCCTGCATCCTTACTATACTGGTTGACCGTAGCGAATGTCCACCCTGGGCATGCCCGACTAGTAGCCAGAAGCACAGCGAACACGAGGGGGCGAGGGGTGGCCGAGGGGGGGGCGATGGAGGAGGAGGTAAAGAGCAGAGAAGTAGAAGAAAGAATTCGGCACGAGCAGGGATGAGGATCACAATGAAGATGGTGGGTGAGGAGGGCGATCAAAACGAGCAGAATGACGAGAAGGATAAGAAGAAAGCCCAGGGGACTGCGGAGGAACACGAGGACAAGTAGGATGAGGAGCGGGACGGATGACTGAGGAGGCGTTGGAAAAGAAGGATGCCGTGGAGGGGGGCTCTGAGAAGTGTGAGAGAGGCTGAGAAGAAGGACGACGAGCGGGACGTGGAGGAATGAAAAGGACGAAGACGAATAAGAAGTGGAGGGGTCAGGTTGAGAGAGAAAGGTGGTCTTGTAGGTGAGAGGGGGAATAGGGAGTGGAGGTGGGGATGAATAGGAAGTGGAGAGTTAAGGATGTCTTGTGGATGAAAGAGATAAGGAAGGATGGGAGAGATAGAGAGAGAGAGAGAGACAGAGAGAACAACACTACATACATATAGTATTAAACAAACAGAGAAGGAGAGAAAGAGAGAGAACAAACAAACCATATGTATATTAAAGCAGAGAGCGAGAGAGAGAGAGAGAAGATCCGAGAGAGAGGGATTGGGGGAGGGAGGGAGGGAGAGGGGGACATACATATATATATATATATATATATACATATATATATATACACATACATACATATGCATATACATCAAATTATATACCTATATATATAGAGAGAGAGAACAAAAAAGAAAGAAAGAAAGAAAGAAAGAGCGAGAGAGAGAGAGAGAACAACCACAAAAACAGAGAGACTGTGAGAGTGAGCGAGGCGGATATACGTGTGCGTGCGTCCCCACATTGCAAGGATTTTGGGGCCCAACACCGGTGTGGTGACGGACCGTGCGGTGAGCTCGAAATCCCCGAAGACGTTGCCACAAGGCCTGTCTCCGCACGGTTTTTGACCCTGGGGGCCCCAATCGCCCGAGACGTCCTCCTCCTCCTCCTCCTCGCCCTCCTCCTCCTCCTCCTCCTCCTCCTCCTCCTCCTCCTCCAGTTTTCGGCTCGCGAGGAGCTGCCGCCCCCCTTCGGGCGCCTGCGGGGCTGCAGGCGAGGGGGATACGGCTCCTGCCGCGCGCTGAGACTAGCGCTCACGCGACGGCGGCTCCCAGGGAGACCGCCGCACATCATCGAGCGCGACTCCGACGCAAGGAGGATCGCGCCCTCCTACACGCCTGGGCGGGGCGCCGCTCCCCTGGCCTGGCGGCGCGGCTGCGCAGTGCGGCCCAGCGACTGGACGGCCATCACGGCTCCTCTGCAGGGGCAATGGCGCCAGCGCCGGCCAAGGTGCAGGAGCAGCAGCCGAGGCCGAGGGTGCTGCGAGGTTCGAAGAAGCCGTTCTGGAGTTGCGCGTGTGGCATGGACGGCAACTGGGCGTGCCGCATCGAGTGCAGCTGTGGCAAGCAGGCGCCGCAGCGCATCATCACGGCCGCCAAGAAGGCAGATGCAGCCGCACGTGCAGGTGATGCACCATCGAAGCGAGCTGGAGGCAGTGGACTCGTTGAGAAGCCTGCGCCGTGGTGCTCGAAGTTCAAGCTCATGGAAGCCGAGCTCGCAAAGTTGCGGAACCTCGTCGGCAAAGGAGGCCCCACACCTCGGCTCAAAGCGGAAAGCGACAAGCACCAGCACACGGAAGAGAAGAGTGAGAAAGACCCCAGCTTCGCGAAGAGGACGGCGATGCAGGAAAAGATCAACTACCATGAGCGGGCCCTCAAGGAGGCTGTCAAGTACGAGGAGCAGGATGGTGCGGCCCATGCGTACCACAAGGCGGAGATTGACAAGCTCAGGGAGCAAATCCGCGACCTGCGGCCTCCTGCAACGGCATTCAAGCCGGCTACGCAGAAGCTTGAGCGCAGCAGGACGCAGCTGGACAAACTCACGAAGGATCATGAGGCATTGCTGCTGCAGCTACAGGTACTGCAGGAGCAGATTTCAGAAAAGTCGGCGTCGATCGAGGCGAAGAAGGACGAGGTTGAGCAGTTCAAAGCGGAGGCTGAACACCATCAGCGGCAAGTCCAAGTTGCCCGCGGTGAAGCCTCTGATGGCGCTGCACCCATCATCCCCGAGGATATCATGGCGCTCGACGTTAACCTCGCAGACTTCCAGGAGGATCCTGGCCTGCTGCAGTTCTATCACCAGTGTCGAGCGGACGCCAATTTCCAGAAGCTACAAAAGTTGGTGCAGAAAAAGCTGGAAGTATCCATCCCCAAGGCTACGGCGCCAAGGAATGGTGTGCAAGTTCCTGTTGGCCATGAGTCTGATGATGGCCTTGATGGGACAAGCAGCGAAGGCGAAGGTAACACCAACGGCGAGTCCTACAAGCGCGGGAACGACATCCAGTGGACAACGGAGGACGTTGAAGCGCTCCACACAAAGCTATGCCATGGAGAACACGGCCACGAGATCTCCAAGGATCAGCTTTCCGACACGGTGGTCGACATCCAGAAAACCAAGTTTCGCAAGACAGATGAAGTGTCCGCAGTACCAACAGGAGGGTGCAAATCCTAGCATCCCGCCGCGGGTCAGTGGGCTGCTGGTACGACGTGGAAAGACATGTGCTACTCCTGCACCTGTATCCATGACAAGCGAGCACCTGTTCGAGACATTCAATGCCAGTCAAGGGAAGCGGACGCTAAAGCTTCGATTGGAAAGGACCAGCGCGCTAGTCGTTTTAGCGCAAGAAATAGGACACTTGGACTGGGAATGCGAGGCCCTTTGCACATGGGCTGGCTCCCGAAAGTGGCAGATGATGGTTATCCCTGGAAAGCCTACAGATGGACATCTTCCGTCAGGTGGGTTGGCTATTTTTGCACGGGAAGGCGTGGGGCTACGAGGCCTTGGGTATCCTGATACCACGGCCGCTCGAAGACAAAGCGAGACGAATGCGCAGGTCGCATTCGGGTCAGAGCTGGTACCCCACCGAGCTCAGCACGTGCTTGTGGAACTGGAAGGATGGCCGCCTATCAACGTCTTCAACATTTACCTGCATACGGCCGAGGGCATGACGACGAGGAACGCTAGGATCCTCATGAACGTAGGGCTTGCGATGGCAGGACAGCAGTACCCATGTATTGTTGGAGGCGACTGGAATATGTCTATCGATGAGGTCGAAGCATCAGGGTTCCCAGTACACGCACAAGTCGGGCTTGTCAGCCCAGGCCAGATCACATGCAGGGGTCCGACCAGCGCCACGACGATCGACTTCTTCGCATTGAGCTCTGGAGCCATGCGGCTGATGAGGAAATGCCAGGTAGATAAGACATGGCACAAGAAGCCGCACCGCCCTGTCCAGCTTTCGTTGTGTGGTCACGGAACGACAATGCAATACCTTACATATGTTGGAGGGACAAAGATTGCTGCCGAGAAAGTTGCGGGACCATTGTGGTACGAAACGGACTGGGATTTCGAGCGGAGCTATGCTGCAGAAGCCTGTCGACAAGCAGCTGTTGCTCCAGCCGCCGTGGCGTGGAAAGTACTCTCACGTGCGTGGGGATTCTGGGCGCGCAAGGCTGCAGCACGGCTTGGCCACATCACGGGCACGTTCATCAAGGCGCCAGAAGATTTCAAAGGCATGATTCGACCCAAGTGGATTTCGTATGCATATGAAGGCCAAGACGCTGAAGATATCCAGGCAGTCGCTGATGGCTGGCAATGGTTTGCGGATGCTGTTCAAGGGATTGCTGCGCTCAAGAACTGCCGTGGTCAAGTGCAAGAAAGGCAGCTCACGGATGAAGTCCAAGGATTCCTGGAGACCGACTACGTGGGCCAAAATATCAATCATCGTCTTGACGCCTCCGTCACAAGAGCCAGACGATTGATCGGTCGTGCCTCAACATCTAGCGAAGAATTACATGAATTTCTTGCAGAGTGCGAAGAAGATATGGAGTATGCGAAGCAGCTGGCAGACCGAGACAGCTCCACTCGCTGGAAGGACTGGTGCGACATTGCATGTGCAGGAGGTGCTGGGCGTTTCCATCGCATCACAAAGCTTAATCAGGCGCAGGCGCCGACGGTAGTGCGCACGACAACCACAGATGGCATGAGCGGACATCCTCATCATATTGTATTGGACATGGAAGCCAAGCACCACAAGCTATGGAAGGCGTCTGAGGAGGCACCGTTTGCTTGGGCACCTGATCGCAGCACCATGGATAGACCAAGTCCAGGGTTGATCAGAGCAGCATCGAAGGCATTCTCCACTAAGACCTCAAGCAGTCTTGACGGCATCCACCCGTCACACTTTCAACACCTGAGTGACGAGGCCCTGGAGTGCCTCTGTGACATCTTCCAGGCGGTGGAGGCAATTGGTGTTTTTTCCCATCCAACTCACGTGGATGGTGATGCCAATGCTGCCCAAGGCTACTGGAGGACACAGGTTGATCATACTATACTCGGCGGCGTACAGAGTATGGCAGAAGACGAGACGACCTGGCCTCGACATGATCCAGCAAAGGTTGGACCGCCCCTACTGGGGAGCGGCAGCGGGCAGAAGTGCAGTGGACAGCGCATGGGCCCTTGCAGCGGACAACGAGCAGAATGTATGTCAAGACAGGTATGTAGTCACGGTAGTGGCAGACTACA